CAATTCAGCCTCTTTTGGTAATTCAATTATCCTTTATTTAGTTATCTATCTGTCTCTGTACATACAGCCTTTTGCAAAAATTATGAGAATTGTTGAAATATCTAAATATCATAATATCAAGTGCATGATCCAGCGCGATGCCCTTAGTCCCTTGTCTTTGTTGTTTAGTTTTTTTTGGCGACAGACTTATCCGTAGTTCTGAACATTTTCTCGATGTCAACAATGAATTATTCTAGCAAACCCGCATGTTCCGTACAATATATGGATATGGATATTATGATATTTAGATATTTAGACAATTCTCATAATTTTTGCAAAAGGCTGTATATTATATCATATATATATATATATTATCCATACTTACAAATTAATGGAAATGGCTCATGATTACGGCACATGACTTGTCTTTAACATTAAAGAGCGGATTTTGTATGATTTTACAAAAGCATGGATCACAGCTGGACAAAGCATATTGCAGAAACTCACCTTGTAGCAATTCCAAATAAAAATACTGATTCATGAACACATATCTGTCACAACATGATACCGTGACGCCACAAAATTACCGTGTTCTTTGGAAGGTCATACGAAATCCATCTCAAAATGCAAATTCCAGTAATCACAGAATAATTACCCACTGTACAAACTGGACATATATCTCTTATTTTTCAAGGGGTATGTCGACTTGACTGAAACTAACTGGACATTATCTGGTCATCGTTTTTTATGCTCTAACTACTTACCAGTTCTCTTGTTGGCGATATGATTAATGCACCAAGTCCATCCAATGACGACCACTTTTGTCTCCATAGAGCTTCAATAACCTATCATTTACAACCCCAAACATTGAGTAATGTTCAATTTATAAATCATATGGCATGTAAGACAGGCTTAAGAATTTGTTGGTCAACATGAACTTACAGAGTGTTTTAACAACAAACCTGACATACATGTACACTTGTGTTAAAAGATAAATTATAAATTTACCCAACAACTTACAACTTACAAACAACTTACTGATGTTCTGGACATTATTCGTCGGAGCAAGGAGCCTACTAGGACTAATGTCTGAAATGTCACTCTTTACTCCGATGAAGGATTAATGTCTGAAACGACAGTAAGTTACTTTGCCTACTTTTTTACGGTGTTAAATTTATCCAAATGGTCTTTTTACACAATGAATGTGTTTCTTTAAA